TGGGGGCAATATGGTGACTCTGTAAACCGCTTAGAGAGGGCTGAAAGCCCTATGAAGCGGTATATAAGTCTAACTGCTGTTATTGTTGTCCCAAAGGTGCTTAGACTTTCTTGTTTTTCTTTGAAGATGTTTCGTTTCTCATCCAAGAAACTTCTTCAGTTCATGTTTTTTTTCTTTGAAGGGGTTTCGCTTCTCATTCGCTTTGAAGATGTTTCGCTTCAGCTCAGCACCAGGAGCTGAAGAAGCTTCTTGGATGAGAAGCGAAACGTCTTCGAAGAAAAACAAGAAAGTCCTGTTGCCTCTTGAAAAAAGCACCTTTGGGACAACTCACAGGCTTCTTACCTTCTCTCTTCCTCCCCCTCAGGATGTTCACCATGGTAACGGGACACAGCAAGTTTTCTACAGAGATCCAAATGTCCTCTATCTCTCCTTGCATCGCTATGATGATGGCAACTTTTTCCCTGGTAGCGGAGCAGCTGATGAGGTGATCTCCTGTTTTACACATACCTGTGTCTGTTTCCCTGTATCAGAATATTACTGATACCCTGCAGAAAAAGGGAGACCCCAAATTTGAGCCCCATGAGATTGTTGGTGAATTTGAACCTTGCAAACTAAATAGTATATCTCAAACCACTTGAACCAACTGCCAGATCAGGAACTGCTGTGTGCCAGGAATGTCTCTCCCTTCCCCCACCTCACACCTCTGTACAATAGTGAAAATGCAAATCTCTGCAAAATGCTCCTGTTCAAAAATGATTCCGTGTACTATTTTTTTTTTTAAAAAAATTCATTTTACTGCATTTCTATCTTGCCTTTTCCACCTTGCAACGGATGTGGGAATTTCAACAATTCTGTCCCATTAACAGTTCTGTGAGATATGTTTGGCTGAGAGAGAGAGTGACGACAGAGCTCCGTGCTGGAAAGAGAATTGAACTTTATCTCTTCAGTTACAATTCAACCCCTTCAATCACTACCCATAGAACAAACAAAACTAGATAGTCAATTAGCCTCCAGAAGTTGTGAATGCTCCAACACTGGAAGTTTTAAAGAAGATGCTGGGTACCCATTTGTCTGAAGTGGTGTAGGGTTTCCTGCCTAAGCAGGGGGTTGGACTAGAAGACCTCCTAGGTCCCTTCCAACTCTATTATATCTCAAATTAAGGCATGACTATAGCATCCTCATTCCTGACTTCTTCTAAGCTAGAAGGATCACAATGCTTCCATAAAAGTAGAAGCCACTGGGCTTCTTAAAGGCACAGGAACCCTCCTAAGAAACAAAGTCTAACCACTTTATGCTTTACTGCCCTTATTACCTACAACCTCTAAACATCTGTATGTTGTATCTGCTAAATTCCTCTGTCTGCAGTTGGTATCTGCTTTTCTTGGTTTTTTAGGTTCCTGGTGGCACTTTTAGGTCTCTTGCACCTCTACCCACTTAGTTTTTCTTTAATATTACCCACCCTCAGCCTTCCTAGTCTTTTAAGTCTTAACTCAGCTGACAAACATCCCTCTCTCAGAGACTCCATCCTCAGCCTTGTTCCCCAAGGGCGCTGGCGAACCTCCTGCTCAGTCCGTCCATATGGAGCCTTTCTTGGCTGCAGGATAGAAAACATAGACATGCCCTTGGAAATTCATCGAAATGTAAACATCATTGGTTTTTGGCTTCTTTTTTTTAAGGGATGTTAGAAACATAAATGCATTTGAGGAGCAAGAAAGTTCTCCAGAGAACTTCATTAAGCTACAGCTGAACATTTCCAACTCTAAGAAGAAGACAGAGAACTTTGCCCCAGCTGAGAGTGGGAGGAGGGCGAATCAATTGGGCTTTTCTGGTATTTCAAATCCATCATGCTTTACAACCTGCTTTCAAAGGGGCTTAGTGCTGAAAGTGGCCAGGATTGGAGTTGGCCCCCATCTGGTTCTCATCTCTCTCTCCGAGCAGGAGATATCAAAGGGGCTGAAGCATTGTTTATGATGCCGCACAAATCCCTGGGAGACTGTGGCATATCACTCAAGGCTTCCCCCTCCCCTCCATCCCCTTTATAAGCTGTTTCTCCCCCCCCCTTCATCAGACACACTGTCAGTTTTGATGGTGAGCCCTGCCCCAAAGGAGAACTGCCATGGATTTTTTTTCAACTCTTTCTCTTTTCTTGTCTTTCTCTCGCCCAACTAAGAGACATGATGTGATTTAGAAGGGTGATTGCTTGCACTTCAGAGGGGGATTTCCTCCCACTCCTATCCATTTTCTTCATCTCCCCTCTCTTCCTCCTCCTCCTCCTCCACCTCCTCCTCCTCCTCGTGGAAAATGCTACCATTCCCTCTTTCCTTTCACACACAAAACAAGCCAGGTTCTCGGTTCTAACTCCAAAATGAAGGGGGACGTCATAGAGTTTTCTCTTGGAGTAAACCTCTGTCTAGGTCAGAAGCCTCCTACCCAAAAAGCTAACAGAACTATATTTCACACAGAAAAGTTTGCCTGTTCTGTGCTGCATTCATGCCACCTCTTAAAACATTGGGGCATTCGCGCTGCACCATTCATTGGCCACGGGCTCAACTTTGGAATGACCAGGTGTACCAGAAGAGGCTAATAAACACTTACAAGCAGTTCTCCAATACTTATGGGATGCCACACAAGTATAGTGGAAACTTAGCCACCACCACCCTCCCCTGAATTTTATAAAATCGGACCTTCTTCTTTTGCAGGAAAGAAAGAGCGGAAGATCAGTATACTTCTGCACATGAAAATAACTGAACATTTTTCTTTTACAAGAACATTTAAGCATAACATGCACATGAATATTTGGAAAACTACTGTTGCCTACACTGTGCATTAGAATAGTACTTGGGATTTGATTCCCAAAAGATACTGTGTGTAAGTTTGATGTACAGTAAGGCTATGCAGCACTCCAGAAATAGTGCAGAAGGATTCTTCTACTGATCACTCCTCTAAGAATCACCAATTTAGAATGAAAATTCTTCTGTATATAACCTTCACTCCCTCATTAACTGGATTTTTTTCCCCCGGGGATGGGGGGAAATCTATATTAACATTACCGAGGAATTATTTTCTGAAATGACATTTGGGGGGAGAATTTTGGAGTTGATTCTGATGTTTCATCCAGTACAGGAAGTAGCCCAGTTAAATTTATAATAGAAAAACACTTATCCTTGGAAAAACCTATGAGTTTCCTTTTATGGGGCAAATGGAGAATATTTGCTTTGAGGTTTGTTTGTTTTTAAGGAATGCAGTAAATAAATGCTGTATTTCAGAGAAGTAATTCCCAAAGAAGAGGTCATTTAATTCTAAGACATTTGTGGTTTTGTTGGGAAAAAAGTATCTGAATAGCTAAAGATGTGAAATCTGATTTCTTATCATAGGAAAATGTAGCACTCGGGCTTCCCTCCTAGTTTATGGTGAATATGCTTTGTGTTCCAAAAAATGCCTCCCACCCACACACCCAAAAATAAATGTGCACATGATCATTTACCACGATAAGATCACCAGAAGCAAAACCATAACAGTGGAGTTAAGGAAGCATCCACAAATTGCTATTTTCCTGTTATTGAATGCAGGTCATCTATCCGGTGCTATCAATATAATAAATTTAAGATTGGGATATTTTTAGTTTAATTGCCTTGGACATTAGGATCCTCTACATGGCTGCTATGAGGCTGTTTGGTTGATCTGGAGATGTGGTCATCTCAACAGTGGGGGCCTGACTTGTTCCCTGTTTTTCTTTTTCAGGTGGGCTCTGGGGCCGGAGAAGGTTTCACCGTCAATGTGGCTTGGACAGGAGGCCTTGAACCCCCCATGGGAGATCCAGAGTATTTGGCGGCTTTCCGGTAGGCCCGCCTGACACAAGCTTTGATACAATGCCTATTCTTCCAATAGGGCCATGTTGAGTTACGTTGGCAAAGGCTGCTCTGAATAACATTTTAGATGCAATGGAACAATTTACTTTTAGCTGAAGGGGCGGGGGGAGGAGGGGAAATGAAGGAAGAAAAGAACAGGCAAGCCGAGTTAGGATAGATTTCTCAAAGCTGGTGCTCCCCAGATGTCTGAGATGACAACTTGTTTCATCTGGCATCATGTTGAGGATGATTCAAGGAGAGCATCTGGCAGGTTTGGTCCCACTTTAAGGCCAGATTTAAGTGTGCTTTGTTCCTCCTTGCAATAGCTCCTGTGCTAATTCTGGAGCTGAGCTTATCGTTTGATGTAAGATGTGAACCCTTTGCTACCCCAGCGCCAAAGATCAGAACTGAGGAACAAAGTAGGCAGGATGATTTATTTGAACAAGTTTACTTTTAGTAGCCTGTAGGAACATCGTCTAAAGGGCTGCAAGCATGCCTGTTTTTCTTGGCTGATTGTTTTCATCATATGGGACAGGAAGGCAGGGAACGGGGCGGGCAAAACTTCAGAGTCAGGGAAGGAAGCCTAAGAGTGTTTATACTTGGAAGTCAGGCTCATGAAGTCCAGTGGGATTTTTTCCAAATAAACATGATTAAACATAGGATCAGGCTGTAAATCTTTCTTTCCTGGGTTGTCAGAAGTTGCACGCACACCTCCGCTGGTAGCTCTGACATACTTTCTCCAGCTCCTCTCCCCACTCCATTGGCCCACAGTCCTGGCAGCTCCTACCAAACTTCTGAAAATGTTAAAGACCAAACCCGTTCAGTTCCTTCTTTTGTGACTTAGAGCTGTTATAATATAGTTTCTCCCCAGGATGTGAAGTCAATGACAGAGGCACTATGTTAAGAGGGTTCCACCACAAAACCGCGGACGACAAAATCGCGGTCGACGAAAGCGCGCATTTGACGTCATCACAGCGCGACGAAAACATCGCGCTGTGATGGAAAAATGTAAAAATAAAGCAAAAACCTTACCCTAACGCCCCCAAACCTAACCCTAAACCTAACCCTAAACCTAAGCCTAAATCTAACCCTAAACCTAACCCTTAACCTAACGCTAAACCTAATGCTAACCTTTAACGTAAAATTTAACGTAACCCTAACGCTCTAAACCTAACCCTAACACTTAACCTAACCCTAAACCTAACCCTTACCTTTATGTGAATCGGCTTGCTTTAATTTTATTGTTATTTCAATTTTTAATTTTTTTCGTCGCGCTGTGATGACGTCAAATGCGCGCTTTCGTCGATCGCGCTTTTGTGGATCGCGGTTTTGACGGGTCACGTGTTAAGAGTCCTCCCTTGTACCATCATCATCCCAGTTGCTAAGACCTGTGTTGCTAAGCTTCCCATATACTCATAGCATTTATTTATTTTTTGAGTATGCAAGTCACCTTCCTGTTACAGACATTATTTTGCTAATTTTTCTGCAACCATCCAGTAAGGCAGGTCAATGTTATGATCCTCATGTTGCTGAGAAGACCGGGGTAAGAGATAGTGGCTCTGTTGTATGTTAGGGTTAGGGTTGGGGTTACAGTCTTTCTCATTCTTAGTTGAGCTTCCCAAGGCCGATGTAGAGGTCATGTCTGGTGTATGAAGTGCCATTAGCAATTGTATGGTGCAACCCAGTGGTGGGTTTCAAAAAATTTTAGAACCTCTTCTGTAGGTATGGCCTGCTTTGTGGGAGTAGCTTGCCGGCAATGTGACTGGGTGGGAGTGGCTTGCTAGCCATGTGACTGGGTGGGCGTGGCCAACTTGTAAAATGTGGTAAAACTCACTTAACAACGCTCTTGCTTAGCAACCAAAATGTTGGCTCAGAAACTCTGGCATTTGAAGCACGCAAGTCTTAAAGCTGTCAAGTTACAAGACCCTTGCACCCCTAACCCTTTAGAAAAAAAAAACCCAGGGGTGTTCAAACTTGACAGCTTTAAGACTTGTGGACTTCAACTCCCAGAATTCCTCCTCTCGCTCTTCATCTTGATGATGTGTGGGCAGGTTGGGGGGAGGGAGCTGGAACCGGTTCTAAATGGCACTGTGGATTTTTGGAAGCTCTTCTATAGAAGAGGTTAGAACTGGCAGGAACCCACCCCTGGTGCAACCAGTAATGTAGGAAAGCAATACGGAGCTACATCCCGTTCAAGAGAAACATTATTTCCTCACCTATTCTAGGGTTTCCGTCTCAAATTTAATTTTGGAAACTGCCTTAAGGTTGTAGCTATGACAGACAAAGCAACTAAGCGGCTACAGAAAGATGACCTGAGAGCTACCTG